AACTAAGATGAAATTTAATTAGCCTAAACAGAGACAATTGGTAAATAAGACAATGAAAATTATCAATTTTTTTAATTAAAAAAATATATAGATGAGTAATTAAGTTAATTTCAACATATAAATGATAAAAGTATTACAACAAAACTATTAATAAACATTTGCTAACATCAAATACAAGAAGCCATCAAAATTTACCAGGTCAGTGAAAGAGAGAACAAAATGGAAAAAAAAAAGGCTAATAAAAAATTTTAATTAAGTTTTCTTTACTCAACAATTAAATTAATACAATTAGAGTATTAGCATATTAGAATAAAAATTAAATAAATAGATAGATAATTGAAAATCTGGTAAATCAACCTCATTTTGGAATGATGTTTGGTTTGATAATGCATGATTATCAAAGCACAGCGCGTTGGAGACTATTTTCTATATATGAAAAATCAAAACTCGTTAATTGGAAAGTGGAGGGTGATCTTTGGGATTGGAAGTTTCCTTGGAGATGGCCTTTTCTTGTGTGGGAAGAATCCCTTGTGTCTGAATTTCTTAGTACTCTTTTTTAGTGTTATTCTTCTGGTTGGGAGAGAAGATGCCTAGTGCTTGTGGTCTCTAGATGGATCCACTGAATATTTGTGCAAATCAACTTTATTTATTTATTTATTCATTTTACAGAATGCTACCCTGCGAGATGAATCTTTCTCTACCTTTTGCACCCTCTAATATGCAAAATTTTCTTTGCTAGCTCTCTCTCACGTATGAACAATAACATGAGTTAATTAATGGCATATTTAACTTCATTTAAATAAATGTGAATTAACATTTACTGTTGTGAATTGTATCTATTAGGTTTTTAATATATTTTCAAAGTTACACTTGATATGAACATGTGAAAATTGGATAGTAAGACAATTTATGCGACATAGAAGGAAAAAGGAAAAGCAGAAACAAATCTGTGTGGATATTTGGTTCATACGTAATAAAGCTATCTTTAGACCAGAGAAATCTGGTTTGTTTCGTATCTTAGACTTGTTAAAGTGAGATCTTGGACTTGGTTTTCTCATTCATTTTTGCAAGAAAGTTGCTTGGGATTGGTGTCTCACTTCTCTTCATTTCTTCATTGAACGAAATTGTTCTAATAGCACTATTGCTGATGGATTCTTGTTCAATGGTTAAGCATATCCGTTATATTTCTTAAATAGGACTAGGTGATGAGTATTAATTTGAACCCGCCCTTACTTGACTTTGAATATTAAATAAATATGAAATACCAGTGAGACTCTTTGTCATAATAGAAATAAAGTAAAATTTGAACGTTTAATTTGAACTACTAAAAGGTAGGTCGAATCGTATACAATCTTTATCATATATATATCATAAAAAGGAAATAAAAAGTGTGTTTAATAAGATAAATAAGTTGATTTTTAATTTATTTAAATTAAAATATAAAATTGATAATTATTTTGAAATATATAAAGTAGCAAATTTTAAATTAAGACCAAAAGGTTAAATATGCATTTTTACATCATTTTAAACTAATCAAAATTGTGCTTTAAATTAGCTTTGCACTTCCAACTTCTAACTACTCTATAAATTAATTTTGTCAAAGATATAATTTAGCATAATTTGCATATACAAATAAGTCAAAATTATATTCACATTATAAAAATAGGTCAACATTGTATGTTAACATGTAGCAGTTAGAATTGGGTAATGCAGCAAGACAGATGATCACATCTCACAATTCATATAAAATTACAATATTCACTCATTTTAGTGAGAAAAATGTTTCTTCTACACTCAATTCTTTTACATATACTCCTACAATCCCATTTATGTTAAAAAAGAGGAAAATTTATTTATTTCTCTCGTATTTCTTTCCCATCAAATATAAGATATGTTAGGGTAAGTAATTTAAAGAATTTGAGGGTGAAAATATCAAAATTTTGTAAGAAATATGCCTAAGCCTGTTTGTTTTACCAGGAAGAGGTTTGATTCCCAGTTTCTGCTCATGAAAAAACAAAAATTTTCCTTTAGAAAAACTATATTTTGATACGCATATCTCATTAAGTAAAATCTAATAATCAAACGAGTTGTTAGAAGATAACATTTTAAATATGTAACAGTACACCATTTGACAATTGCGGAAGTGATGAGAATAATATTGTTATTGGAAACAGAAAATTGAAATTCAAAATAATTGCCACAATATTAAGGGACATTTGTTTAAACTTTTAAAACAAAGTAATTTTAAGATTGTGTTAAAAAATTCTGGAGATATGATTTTAACTTCTTTTTTTCTTTAAAAAACTACTCTAGATAACTTATCAAAATATCATAAATCTGACCTTTGTTTTCATATTTTATTTTTCAGAATTTTAAATAATTATACTAAAAATTTTTAAAAGTAGTTTTTTTTTTTCAGAACAAGAATGTTTTTCTTAAACTTAAAGGTAGAAACAAATAGACTCTAAATAGCAAAGCCAATACTTATGCACATTGAAAACTCAAAAATATATGTTATTATTAATAGTAAAAAAAATATTTGACAAAGAATATGATTTATTTCAACTATTGTCCTTGTAACACTTTTGTACCCAAATTTAAATCATAGCTTTAAGCTACTCGAATGAGCAACTCCTTGTGTCTAAAACAGTAGGATTTAATTTAAAAACACAAAGTAGGAAACATGAAGAGGTGGAGATCCCCTCTTTGACCACTGCATCATTTTTCAAATAACATAAAAAATTTGCTGGTGCGGATAGTGGCACTGTGTCCTATGTTTTTCTTTACATTTGTTAATTTCAATTAGGATCTTTATTCAAAACATTATTTCAGTCTAACTTCATGTCCCATATGCTGATATGCCAAGTCATACAGAATTAAAGTACCATAAGAGTCTTTAAAAGAGGACATTATTATACACTCCTTTAATACCTACCCAATTCATTGGCCCTGTTATTATTACTTCTGCTTTTTTACCTGTCATTTAAAGTTATATAACATAAACTAAAAAATTAAAATTAATTCATCATTTATATTAAAAATATTTCTAATTTTTTAATGTCTTTCGACAAATAAATAACATTTTTTACCATTATTTCTTTCTTATTTTATAATAATAAGATTAGAGTTGAAGAGCCAAGCTACAGAGACATAACAAGAAGGAGGTCCACTTCCCTATTCGACTACCATATCTCACCAATAAGAACGCTTTTGAAATTTCTTTGATCATGTACTCTATCTGTCTGGATAATACAAGGGCATTTATATGGAGAGATTATTGTATTCGACTATCTATGTTTTCTTTCAAATTAATATAATAAAATGGGTTTAAATTTTATCTCATATTCCATGTAAAATAGATTGTTACATACTCTGAAAGTATTATATACTTGGAACAATTTTGGATTTCATCTAAAGCCAAATATGAAATTTCTATATCACTTGTTATGCTAGAAAGATTGTTACATATTCATTTTTCATATACATGCATGTGAAAAATTATTAGCGTGTAAAGCCATGTAAACGGGTTGCCACATGTCAACTCATTATTTATAGAAATGAAATAACATGTTTTTTAGTCTTCTAATTAAATTAACTCACTAGTAAAAATAATAGAAAAATTAAGAGAGAAAACATTATCATTAAACAATAAAATTTTCTCGGTTTCGCGTCATATTTTAACTAAAAAAAAGAAATTGAATGAGTGAAGATAACAAGTGATAAACCTAATAAACTTGTTAAATTATGTCCAATTATAATTTTAAGATTTTTAAAAGAAAAAATGTCAATATAAGTGCAGTCGCACGAAATAGATTGGGACCGTAACTTGCTATAATTACATAATGAATAAAAAAAAATCAATTTTTTATATTATTATTATTTATTGAGTTTTTTAATCAATTGATAACTTGTGATATTTTTAGTTTAAATTTAAAACGTGGTCTCTATATTTAATGTTATTTTATAGTTTAGTTTCTAAATAAAAAATATATTTTTGAATTTATACATAAAAATATTTATGGATTGGTCTTCACTGTTTCCAAAAATTATGATGATATTAGATGTTTGTTAAGTTAATAAATGTTTGTTCTACATGATATATATAGTACGGACCAGCTCAACATGTTTGCCAACCTAACAGACATCTAACATGATTATAATTTAACGGTATGAATCAATGTTTTTTCATGCAAAGATCAAATTTTAAAAAAAAATTGTCAAAATTACTAAAGTGAGTTTTATCTTATCATTATTTAACTTGAGAAGTTAATTATAAAAATATAAAAAGCTAATCTAAGTTTAGCTTACAAAATCTATAGATACTTCATAATCAAGACTTTGCTTTTAAAATTTGTTCATAAGCACGTATTCATTTTTTTCCATCACGTTGGATTCTCATTAACCATGTGCAACATTCTCGGGGCCTTTAAGGTTGTACACCCTTTGTTTTCAAAGGAAGGCCCAACACTTTGCGGTTCTACAGTGAAGTGTATTTTGTACAAATTTTGATGTACATTTTTTATGGCAAATTTTTACAAATCAATATTTTTATATCTCTCAACTATATTATATCACTCATCTTACCTTTTTTATTAGCTGTAAAAAAAAGTGTACAAGAACATTGTTTTTTCATGGCATTTGTGAGTCAAATAGGAGCTAGTATTCTAGAAATAGGTGTTACTAGTTTGCAACAAAGCAAGTCTCACAGAAGTACAAGTGCATTAGCACGAATAAATTCTCTTGTAACTCTAGCTATTGGTTCGATGATGAGTAATGAAGATGATGGAGAACACATACATAAACATCGGTATATATAACCAGTAACCACCAAACCAAACCAAACTGTGGCTTCACTAGTAGTTTAGTATAATATAAAATGGAAGGGATACCCATCAAATTCCCACTATATATATAGGTTGAGTCACGCATCAAATTCCCATCATCTCACACACTTGCTATAATCCATCTTACACTTCTCAACCCAACAACAACATATGGCTATGATGGTCCTCACACCCCTTTTGGCCATACTTGCTATTCTGCTACTTAAACTTGCCTATGACAACCTCTCATGTTACTGGCTCACTCCTCTACGCATCAAGAAAATCATGGAGATGCAAGGTGTTCGTGGCCCAAAACCTCGCTTCTTCACTGGCAATATCTTAGACATGGCTTCTCTTGTTTCCAAAGCAACCTCCAAAGACATGAAAAACATTAGCCATGACATTGTTGGACGCCTTCTGCCACATTTTCTACTTTGGTCTAGCCAATTTGGTATGTACGTACATAAATAAATAAATAAATATATATATATATATATATATGTGCATACTATACTAAATTACTAATTAACTAATTAATTATACTTATACATAGATATATTTTTAGTATTTAATAATTAAGCTTTGATTATTTTGATGTTGTGAAGGAAAGAGGTTTGTATATTGGAATGGTACAGAGCCAAGGTTGTGCCTCACAGAGACTGAATTAATCAAGGAGTTTCTATCAAAATACAGTACGGTATCTGGGAAATCCTGGCAACAAAGGCAGGGTTCAAAAAATTTTATTGGGCAAGGACTGTTGATGGCAAATGGTGAAGATTGGTACCACCAACGTCACATCGTTGCCCCTGCATTCATGGGAGACAGACTTAAGGTATTGATACTCATCAGTCACACATAAAATTTTGTCACTGTTTATAGCGTGTCTCACCCTTTTTTTTCCTTTTAAAATTCTTGGGTATCACCGATTGTTTGGGCAGTACTATTAATGGTTACAAATGGTTGGTCTTAAAATTTTCACAGATATTAATGGTTACATATGGTTGGTCTTAAAATTTTCACAGAGCTATGCTGGGAACATGGTGGAATGCACTAAGGAGATGCTCCAATCACTGAAAATTGCGTTGGAGTGTGGCCAAACTGAGGTTGATATTGGCCACTACGTGACCAAACTAGCTGCAGATATTATCTCTAGAACTGAGTTTGGAACAAGTTACCAAAAGGGCAAGAAAATATTCCATCTTCTCACACTGCTTCAAACTCGTTGTGCTCAAGCAAGTCGTCATCTTTGCTTTCCTGGAAGCAGGTTACCCTTTTCTCTAAATCAACCTTTTCTCTAAATCAACCTTTTCTTTTTACTTTTAATTTTTGTGATAAAAATGTGAGTGGATTCCTTTTCTTCGCTTTTTTATCAACAAGCATGTGAATAGTCACATTCTTATTTCTTATTCCAAAGTTTTGCATTTTAGTTCTGTCGGTCGTATTCCGTCTTTGTTGTTTTATGTGTGAGCATTTGTCTGTCCTTGTCCCCCTCTTTTCTTTTTTTATTTTCATTTTTCATTGATGTCAAATTTCATTTCAATTTTATGTATAGGTTTTTACCAAGCAAGTATAACAGAGAGATTAAGTCTTTGAAGATGGAGGTGGAGACTCTGTTAATGGAGATAATACAAAGCAGAAAAGACTGTGTGGAGATTGGTAGAAGCAATTCCTATGGAAATGATTTGTTGGGTATGCTTCTGAATGAGATGCAGAAGAAAAGAGGGAATGGAAATGGTTTTGATCTTCAGCTAGTTATGGATGAATGCAAAACATTTTTCTTTGCTGGCCATGAAACCACTGCACTGTTACTCACTTGGACAGTTATGTTACTTGCCACCAATCCATCTTGGCAAGACAAAGTCAGAGCTGAGGTTAAAACTGTCTGCAATGGAGGAATTCCCTCTGTGGATCAACTCTCCAAGCTCACTCTAGTAAGTAACAAAACAATCACTCCCTTTTTAAATAAACAACACTAATCAAAATTCTCTAAAAGGACCCTATTTAACAAACCAATAGATAGTAAATTTTTCTTTAAAAATATATTAGAATGCATTAAAGATCATAAAGATAAATTGTTTTATTAAATTTAATTTCTTAATCATTGTATTAAAGATATATATTAGCATTTTTCATAAATTATTTTTTTTCTCTCGTGGTTTGCTTCATATTTTTCTCTGCTCTGTGATGAAGGAGAGAAAACCCCTTTTTTGTGTCACAGAGAGAGAGGGTCAATTTAGGCTATTTTTAGGGGATGAGAGGGAAGCGGCAGGTTGGTCAAATTTGTATCTTATACACATCCATTTTTCTTCAATTTGATTCTTATTTTGATTTTATGTATTTTATTTTCGGTAGTGTAAAGTATTACTTTTTGTAGAGCCTACACAAAGTTGCTTTTAAAACTCTGCACGAAAACAGTTTTAGGAAAACTTTAATTGAGTAATGGTCCTGTGGGCCATTTAATTTAGTAGAATTAAAAATATGTATATAATTAGCAGTCTTCATTCATAATTAGTGTAAGTAAGAATAGGCGTAGTTTTGGCCAAAAGGCTAATTAATCTATGGATCTTAGGCTTTTTTTAAGTCATTATTCGCACGATGTTCAGAGAGGACAGCATAGAAATATTTTAGTCTAACTCGAATGTATCTGTGTAAAAAAACAAACCAAAAACAACTTGTTTAACGATCTTCCCTGCACTCGTGCGCCGGTAGTTGGAATTATTTTAATTTATAAAGAATATCTATAATGGTTAGCTTTCTTTTTAGAGTGTCCAAGTGCACAAAAGTTAAAAGCTTTTCTTTCATTTTCTGAATAACGATAGAGCCACACTTTTTTGAAAATAAAACAAAGGAAAATTCATATTCGGAATTTCAGCCTTTGTGACTTTCACATATGTATTTTTCTTAATAAAAGACAAAAAATTAAAGTTGACCCTACTCAACAATCAAGGTTCATGACTACCCACTTCAAAAAATTTGGATTTTTTCTTCAATTGATAGATAGCTCCGAAGACTGAACAGAATATTCATGTGAACCAAACTGTGCAGTAGTAATTACTATATTTAATTGCTAGATTTTATAAAACAAGGTCAAAGTTCAACAGTTAGACAAGGTATATAATTGAACTAACCAGAGTTAATTGTTGTTTGATTTTGCAGTTGCATATGGTGATCAACGAGTCAATGAGGCTGTATCCCCCAGCATCAGTGCTCCCTAGAATGGTCTTTGAAGATATAGTGCTAGGTGACTTATATATACCTAAAGGCTTATCAATTTGGATTCCTGTGCTGGCTATTCATCACAGTGAAAAATTATGGGGTAAAGATGCAAATGAGTTCAACCCAGATAGGTTTACTTCAAAGTCATTTGTTCCTGGTCGCTTTTTGCCATTTGCTTATGGCCCTAGAAACTGCGTTGGACAAGCATTTGCATTAATGGAAGCTAAGATTATTTTAGCCATGTTGATCTCTAGGTTTAGCTTCACTATTTCCGAAAATTACCGTCATGCCCCTGTGGTTGTTCTCACAATTAAGCCCAAATATGGGGTTCAAATTTGTCTGAAGCCCTTGGAGCCATGAGGCGTCATCAGTTATGGAGAGTTGAAAGAGAGTTTTTGTAATTTTATGATGCGGATGATGTGGTCATCTTGATCTTGATGAGCATTCTTGTAATTTTTTATTTCATTTTCAACCTTTTTACAATGAGGAGATAGAGATGAAATAATGATTGCAAGGATTAGGATATGTAAATTAAAAAAACTTGAATGAAAGCACACGTATTTATCTCTTCAATGCATAAATTGAATCAGTAGCTCAAAAACTGGCACTCATGATAAACAAATTGGAGGAGCTGTTTAGATAAGTTTTTAAACAAACAATCATAAAAGATTAAAAACAACACAAATAGGATGTGATGGGTACAAAGGGCCTTTTTCCCTTTTAGCTTAAGATGCTCCATAACGCTTAAGAATGATTCTTTCATTCTCTCTCTCTATATTAAGATGATTTTAATTAAGTGCTCTCTACTTTGATCAATGAAAAATAAGCCAACTTGTGTGTGACAGAAACTAATGTAGGGTCACTACCTCCATTTTGGAGTTAAAGGGGTTGTTTTCTCAGCCACCTTATCATCTGCTTCCACCAGTCCTCCATTCTGCTTCTCCCACTACTTTGTTTTTATCATTCTTTTATTGCAACCATCATTCTTTCTATCACTGCTTGACATCTAATAAATTGTGGACAAATTTTATATGCACCAAAGCATGCAAAAACGTTTTATTTAGGTTTGATCTTCTATTTATTGTCTTGATATGTGCCAAAGGATTCATCAAGTTGACCTTCAGAACTGTCAATGGGCTGGGCTGGGTTCATCCAAGAGAAGCCCACCTAGCCCAACAAGATATTCTAAAACTACTAATAACTTTTTTCTCTCTTTATTTTAAAACAAATTTCATTCAAATAAACTATTTTATTAATTTATTATTTGGTATGGTTGCTTCCATTTCTTTAATTTATATGCGGGCGAATAATATAAATTTTTCAATGGTTATACCTTTTGCCCTTGAAAACATGCTTACATTATTCATATTTAAAAACCTGGTTAATTGAGACTTGGATCCACTTATTATACTCACCAACATAAAGTGAAATCACGAAACTGATAATGATATTGGCGAGTCATGTTTTGATGAAATGATGTAAAAGAAATTATAATGATGCTAATTAATTACATTTTATTAGTTAATTATAAAAATATTATAATATTTTATTTTAGGTTTTATTTTTAAATATTTTATACAAATTTTTAAATAAAATAAAATAGAAATAATGTGACATTTTGTAATCATTTGGCAAAACGAAATATTTTCTCAAATTAAATAAATCTTGCTTTAATACATAATTATTTTTTTTCAATTATTTTCTTAGAACACCCCCAAAAAAAATTCTTTAAAACAAGCTGAACCAAAGCACATGTTTATCTTTCTATTAAATTTCCCCTACTTCAACGTATGTTAACTGAGCAACTGATTGGTGTATTATAGTTAACACATTTTATAAACAAGTTCCCTTTGCTTCTTCCAAATTGTTCCTTATTCTTCTTTATATGGAAAATTATTTTTTATTTTAAAATTTTAAAACAATTTTAAAGTTGTATTTAAATACATACAGTAAAAAAGTAATTAATAATATTTTTTTATTAAAATTCTAATATTTAATATTATTAATTCATTAAATATTATAATATCTTGTGATTTTTAATAAAAAATTATTATTATATTGTTATTGTGTAAGTTAAACATACGCTAAAAATTATTTTTAAAAGATTACAACAAAGAAAACTTTTTTCCCAATCCTTGTTTTGTTATGTTATTGTCTGTTTTCTTTACTTCAATAGACAGGTATTTAAATTTGTAACATTCTACACCCGAAGATCAAAACTTCAACCTCACATTAATTTGTTCTCTGATTCTCCATGGATAATGAAATAAGAAATCTCTACCTGCTCAACTAATGTCGACCACTGAGGTACCTCGATCCATAAAGCATCATGTTTGAGTCTAACTAATTGTTTTGCAACCATATTCTTTTACAAGATTTATAGAATAATATAACCTGCTCTTTATAATTTCTTGACATGAATTTTTATAGTCTTTTATAAAAAAATAAGGATATATTAATTACTGAAAAAAAAAAAATCTTTATCATGCATTATACGTGTTAGTTGTTGCTGCAGCAACAAGATAAAAAATAAGAACTTTATATTTTGATCTTTATTAGTGTAAATCACTACTTTTATCAATAAATGTTAATTGACATGTTTTGATATGTAAGCTTAAAATTTATAAATTAAATAGCACTCATGAATTTCTATTTATCAAAGTACTTTTTTAATTTTTTCTTAGTGTCATTATTTTATTCAAGCATCCCAAATAACGTTCTTCTAAGCGTCTCTTCCTATACCTTCTAGCATGTGTATTATTTGCTTTTCATGTATTTTGTCTCAGTTTCTAACACATACAATACATTAGAGATTATATTGGCAATCTATTTGCTACATCAATCCAATCTCGTGTCAATTTCCTAACAATAACGACATGAACCTAATGACTTTTCAGTCAATTTCCAATCCTACCGTGAACACAAATTTATCAATAATGTCTTACACTTCGCTTCATGATTCATTTTCATTTGAGGTACCTAGCTCCCTCATTTAGAAGATATTGCAATTGGAATATTATAACATGCTCCTTGTAGCTTGTTGGTGGGTAATTCCATCAAGACATGGATATTTTGGGGTAATGGATGTGATATGTTAACGAGATGTCAAAGTCTTCATTTGGCTCTAGGGAGAGCTGGTGTGGGACCATTTGCATATTGTGATTTGTGAGAATTAGATGGGTTTTTTCTATGCATGTTAAACGAAATGATAGGAAAAATAGTAATGAAGAGATGAGAATGATATGAGAAGGTGAGGAGGAAGGTGGAAAAATGGAGCTTGAAAAGAAGAGGTGAGTAATTAGAAAGTTGACCATTAAAGGCTACAAATAAAGGCTGAAGGGTGAGAATTTTAGGGCTTCCTAATAGAGTTGTTGTGTCTTGACATCCTATATATCCAAATTTCAAAATGTTACCAAAAGAACTTGTTACATGGAAATTTTGTTCGACAAAATAGACTTCTACTTTGTGCCATAATGTTAGGTAACAATAGGGACCATATTAAAAAATTCATCAGAGAAATTATTTATAAATATTTTTCATGTAACAATCAATTTTAAAATTAGCATTTTGTATAATAACTACAAAAATATTACAACCTTTATATTATGTGTCTTGTCATTCCTTTCTTATGTCAACAATAACTTCAACCGTGACCTGTGCCAATGTTGTCATTATTTCCTTTGTTTTGACCTCAAAACTTAACCTCGTTGGACCTATATTGAAAATTCAACCTTAGGTCCACTCATTGTTGGTTAGCAATTCTTTGCTTCAACCCCTAATACTTGTTTTGGGTTTTAAGTGAATAGCACGCGTACATATACAAGTGAAGAGGGGCAAATTGGTGATAGTAAGAACAAAAGGCAAAATTTTTAAAATCATAAGGATCAAAAGTTAAATTTCTAAAATATAGAGACCAAAATTAAAATTAAAGTAATTTATTGGGACTAAAAATAATTTTTAAAAATTATTTATAAATTTATTAAAAAAATCTTTATATTAAAAACCGATTTATGCCTTAAACAAGCTTATTAGCTGAGGCCAAATCCTAAACAAGTTGTGAGTCTTCCAACAAATCATATTATTGTCAGGCTAGAGATTTATTATTGAGTAATCTATAATATTTTATACTTATTCAATGTTAATTAAAGGATTATTTGGTACTGGAATAGATTTAGATGGAATTTGAAATTATTTAAAAAAAAAAAAAAGAGTGAACAGTACCGTATGAACAGTGTCGGATGAACAGTAAAATCGCCTATGAAGTGCAAACCGCGTATGAACAGTGAAAACCGTGTATGTACAGTGACTGCTGACGTCATCAGTGACATCATCATGACGTCGTGACTGACGTCACATACGCGTACAGTGCGTGTACAGTACGCGTGCACAGTATTTTCCGGCATGAATAGTGCCCTGAACAGTGTTTCCGGCATGAACAGTAAGGCGATGAACAGTAACTTTCGAAAATTTTCTATAAAAAGGGGGCTTCACACGAAATTTTCATTTCTTCACCCCTATCCAAGGTTCTCAAAGGTTCTAAGGCCAAAAACTACCATTTCTCTCGTACTAAATCTTCCTAAACTTAGATTTCTCGCCAGATCTGAGATCCTACGTCTATTCTGAAGGATTTGAAGTAAGTTTCTTTAAGTTTGAAGTTAGATTTACCGTTCGTTTCTCTTTTCCTTCTCTTTCTCATAGAAGTTCATGGTGTTCTTAGGAGAAACTTCGTTCTAAAGCCGAATCTTCGATGAATCTTGCATTAAAACACGTAATATTCGGTAGATCTAGTGTGAATCATCTTTCTGAGGTAAGGGGAGTTTACTTTAACCTATGAACTACATTTTGAACGGTTTAATATGCTATTTCAAGATGTTTTGATATGATTTTGTTAGATCTTTTGAATAAAAACTATTTTCTAAGCTGTAACTGCTATTAATTGATTTAAAATGCTGAGATTTTGGCTGATCTATTATAAACTTGCTTTAGTTGAGCTGTTAAAATAACTTTGGCGGTGTGCATCATGCTGAAATATATATTTTGCATCATTATAGAGCCGAGTTACATGTTTAGGTGGGTAGACATGTAACGGTAAGTTCATGCTGAGCTGCTGTGCTGTGCTGTCTGGATCCAGATACCGAAATGGGTCGCTCCCGGACCGGCTCGGTTCCTTCTGGATTATTTAGGCTGTGAAACCAGTTGGAAACCGTTTTCATGCTGTGCATTAAATGGGCTGGAAATGCATGGGGCTATTGCTGTGAGAAATATTTTGCTCTATATATATGATTTTATTTTCTTTTTGTAAGCTTACCCTTGCATTTCTTTCTATGTCGTTGTGTGCGTGTGTACTGCGATGATCGTACGGTGGTACGTGAG